TTGTATTCTTTGTATCATGGGTGCAACCGGCATCAATGCAACCAATAGTCAAGCTTTCCTGTTGCCTGTCACTTGTCTTTCTATGGTCGTCGGCAGCGTTTTACAATTCGTTTGTGACTATTAGTGACTAAACTTGATTATAAGTGTGAATTTTCGGGCCCAGTTTAAGGACGACACCAGTAAACCAAATCGTTGTTAAAACATCGATAAATGCAAGTATTATCAATTCAGGTTGGGTTTTGCTGTCGAATAGCAAACATTTTCAAGGTTGCGTTTTAGGGCCAAGTCTGCAGCAGATCCAGAAGTGGATCCAAAGGATAAGAAGAAAGAAAGGGGACGCGATCGCAAAAAACGATCTAACTCGGGCTCAACTAGCAGCGACGACTCTCGCAGCAGGTAAAAATGATCTCGTTCAAAGCTATTTCTTTGTAAAGGTGTCTGTGTAACTTTGCAGTTCTACCGATAGTAGTTCAAGCAGTTCGAAATCCTCGAGCAGTTCCAGTTCAGCTTCATCGTCACGCTCAAGCAGTTCTAGTTCAGATTCATCCAGCTCTTCAAGTGATCATGACAGAACTAGACCAAAACGGAGGTAATAAACATTCGGCTGCTGAAATATAGAAGCGCTTGTTGAATAATGGTTTTCACTTTATATACATACCAAAATTAATTTGTACAAACACCGATCAGTTCAATTGCAGCAAATCCCACTATGCGTGTTTCAGGTCTAGTCCTAAGAAATTAAAGCAACGCAGCAAAAGCCAAAGTAAAGACGGCAAGGAGAAAGTGAAAGACACGAAAGAAAAGAGGGGTGAAAAAACGGATGTTAAAAAAGATGAGAAAGAAAAGGACAGGAAAGGTTCCCCAGCTAAAGACAGGGAACGGACGGATCGAGACAAGGATGGAAAAGATGCACGGAATAGATCCAGGTAAGAAGCCATGCATCTCAGTGTGTGTCGGTTTAACATTAAAAAGCAGATTTTCTAACATAAATAATGCATACATATAATTTTTATAAGGTCAAGGTCTCCACGAAAGCGGCGTAAAAGATCTCCTACTCCACGTCCAACCAAAATACACATCGGGCATTTAACGAGAACCGTCAACAAGGACCATATTGTCGAAATTTTCGGAACGTATGGTACGATCAAGCATGTGGAATTTCCGAAGGTAAAACATATTCCAAAACGAATGTGATCACAATACAAACTCAATTTATAGGATAGAAATCATTCGAATCTCGGAAGCGGATACTGCTACGTCGAATATAGCAATCCAGATGAAGCCGAAAACGCCATGAAGCATATGGATGGTGGTCAAGTTGATGGACAGGAAATAACAGCCGCTCCTGTTTTAATTCCCAGGCCAAGGTACATATTATGTTCAAGTTGAAATTAATGGTTATTATTATTAATATACAGGGTTGCTCATTAGTGCGTCAAAGTGCGATATCTCAGTAAATATGAACTTTA